ATAACTTATACCGGTCAGTGGTTATCACAATCATGGACCGCGCCGAGGCCACGTGGCCCGACGCACCCGCTAAGAGCCTCTACTCGGCAAACATCTTCAGTCCCGCCCTGCGGAGCGAGCCCAACTCCACGTCCACGAGCTCCGGCGATGAGAAGGGCCTCTCCGCCGCAGAGCGGCAGCAAGCGGTTGGTGACATTGGGCACCACACGGTGACCAACTACTACCGGTGCACGTTTGACGGGGCGGAGATTGAACTGGACACCTTTCGCGGGTGCTCCATGCAGCCGGAGCAGGTGGTCTTATTTGTGACGGATGACGAGTTTTTCAAAAGGGCGTCGCTCGTCGCGGAAGACCCCCTCAACCAGGTAAGGGTGGAGCTTCTCGCGCCGCGGCCTTCGACGTCGTCATCATCATCATCCTCGTCACTGATGCTGGACGAGCGCAAGACAGGCGTCACGGCCGACTTATCGCTGAAGAACATCTCCGTCGTGGGCGGGTGCGCCGTGGTACAGGCGGTGGTAACGGCGGTGAGCCTAGGCGAGGCGGAATTCGTGCAGGCGATTTACCGAGACACGTACCTTGCCAAGCGCGCGGTGGCACTCGACGTACCGCGCTCCAAGCTGCCGTTCTACCCACTGGACAAGCAAACCAAAACGTTGCTGCGGCAGATGCCGTCGGCAATGTGGGTGGTGTCAACCAGCGCGGCCCACGGGGAGGATCTGGCGATGACGGCGACGTCCGTCACGGTGCCTGCGGCGGCGCGCGGGATGATATGCTTCAATGTGGGGCACTCGAGCGCGTTCTACGCGGGGTTCGGCGGGGTCGGGGCGGGCGTGAGGCTGTTCGCGCTTTCGACAAGGCAGAAGGACATTGCCGAGCGGTACGTGACGAGGGCTGCGTTGGGGAAGGAGGATAGGACACGGCTGGAGGAAGAGTGCATGGTGGCGGCAAGGGCCCGCGGGCGGGGGGGGGGGGGGGGGAAGGGCGAGGGATGCGGATACACGGGCAATGACAAGATAAAGAAGGACAGGCAGGCTAGGCGGGCTGTAGCTTTTTGAAACGGGTGGCGCCAAAAAAGCTGGGCGCTGCCGTTACGCGCATTACAGCTGGAGTTTACAGTTAGGGTTTACAGTTGTGGGTCGCTGCCGGTGTACGCGCATTACAGCTCGAATTTGCCGCCGTGGTTTACAGTTGTGGCCCTACACTTGTTGCTTACTTACAGTTGTGGGTCGTCATTACAGTACATCATACCTGGCTTTACAGCTGAGGATATCGTCCCGTCCAGTACTGTAATGTTAAAGATCTACTTTACGTAGATTCCCAGAGATACAGCATGCAATGCCTAAGGGTGTGTCTTAACAAGCGCTTGTTTGTTAATCCAGGTGCCTAAACCCTCTATTATGTCTGCGCCCTCCCCCCCCCGTCCCTCCGGCCTCCATCTTGTTCTACGCTGCAGCTTCGGCCGCGCCATGTCTCAGCGCGATCTCCAGGAGCTCGGCCAGCCCGTGCGTCTCGACGCCAGGGCGCTGCCGCTCGAGCTCCCGCAGCGCGTCGCGCACGTCGCCGAGCCTGCCGCGCCCGCGCGCGTCCCCGAACGCCGAGAACTCCACCTTGAACGACCGCAGCCGCTGGCAGAACAGCCCGAGCCCGCGGATCAGCACGGCCACGGCCTGCATCCCGGCCGCCCCGCCGCCGGCCTCGCTCACGTGCACCTCCTCCAGCTGCCGCAGCTGCCCCACCACCGAGTACAGCAGCGCCTCGTCCACCCCGACGAGCCGCACCGCGTCCCCCGATAGCGACAGCGCCCGCACGTCCCCTGCGTACCCGAACCCGCACGACAGCATCCGCAGCATCGTCTTCGCCTTGCCCGCGCTCGCGATCGGCATCCGCGCCCACACCGACCGCACCGTCCGCCCGGACTGCTCGCACAGAAACCGGAAGCTTTCCAGCTCCGCTAAATCCCCCGCCGACCCGCCCGACTGCGCCCCCGCCCACGGGAACCTCCGCGTGCAGTCGTGGTCCGCCCCGACCTGGATGTGCTCCACCTGCCGGAAGTAGCTCGCCGGCAGCTCGCGCACCATCCACGACGACGACTCCAGCTTGGTCGCCCGGAAGTACGGCAGCGCCCCACCGCCCTCCTCCTCCCCGCCCTTCTCCTCCCCGCCCGCCCCCGAACCGCCCGCCCCGCCGGGCGACACCAGCACCGCCTCGTGCAGGTACACTTCGATCTCCGTCCCCGCGTCGCAGTGCGTCGCCAGCACGTCCACGGCCTCCGCCACCTCGTCGCACGCCCGTTCCAGCACCAGCCTCCGCAGCCGCGGCCGCCCCTTCCCCGCCCCGCCGCCGCGCTTCGCCGCGCGCACGCTGCACGACACCCGGTCGAACTCGCGCCGCGACAGCGTCGTGCTGACCGACCGCCCCAGCAGCGCCGTCAGCGGGTTGCGCCGCGGCCCGCTCACCAGCTCCAGCCGCCCCAGCTCACCCGCGCTGCGAGCCACCGTGGCCGACAGCGCCTGCAGGAACGGCAGCATCAAGTCGGCCGCGCCGCGCCCCGCGTCGCGTCCGCCTGCCACGTCGAACGACAGCGTCAGCGCCTGCAGCTCCGCCCCGTGCGAGTCGAGCAGCGCCAGCACCTGCGCGCGGAGGCGCGGAAGGATGTGGTGCAGCACCAGCGTGCGCGGCCGGAACGCCGTCGTCGTCGACATCGCACGCAGCTTCAGCGGGTCCCGCACCAGGATGATCGTCACGTGCTTTAGAGCGGGGAGCAGCGCGCCAAGGATCTCGCATTGCCGCGTCGCGGGTGTCGTGCCCGTGTGCTTGTACGAGTCGACAAACGCAAGCGACGTGAGGGCGCGGCAGTGCTTTGCCACGCTCTCCAGCACTGTCCACTGCCCGTCGTGCATCGAGCAGTCGTACAGAGGGAGTCGTAGCGTGGTTAGCGCCGGCCCTGCTAAGCGTGCGAGGGCGCATAAGTAGGTGGGGTCGCGCTGCGGGAAGCGCGCGTCGCAACGCGGGAGAGGCTGTAGGAAGTCACCGTCCGGTACGACGTCGATGGAGGAGAGGATCCGCTCGCGGAAGAGGCGGAGCAGGTGGCGCGAGCAGTATGCTAGCGGCAGCGCCGAGCGGACTAGCGGGGGGGACCCGCGACGGGGGGGTTGCGCGAGAAAGCGGAGGATGCGCAGCAGGATGGGGTCGGGGAGGGAAGATAGCGATAGAGGGGAAGACGGGGAAGACGAGGAAGAGGGGCGGGGGTGCTTCCCCAGGACGTGGGATGGAGACATTGGGGGTGGCGAGTGGGGGAGTGGTTGGGGGGAAGGGGTGGTGGCAGAAGGAGGGGGAGGGATGGTAGGGGATGAAGGGACGGAGGCGTAGGCGGGCGCGTGGATGACGGCGGGTGTGTGCGGCCGAGGTTGTAGTGTGCGAAGCGATGCCAGCCTCAGCGCGGCGAGTGGACGCGCGCAGCGGGCGTCCTTGATGCCTTTACCATTTTCCCACACACGTCGCCACAATGGACAGCGTTACCGCCCTCTTGCGACACCGCCAGCTCCCTCCCCCTCTCCCCGTCTCCGCTTCAACAAAGTTGGCAACATCAATCCCTACCTCAATCCCTACCTCAATCCTCCCCCTATCCCCTCCCTCCCCCATCCCCTCCGCGCCCCAGACTCCGCATCACACCCCGCGCCTTCTCCGCCCACGGTCCTCGGTTGGCCGCCGGCGACGCGGGGCTCGGGTGCAGCAGGCACTCGACGCGCGCGTCCTCCGCAAGCGCCCTGCGGCACCTTTCACTCGCCCACACGCCGACGC